ATCTAAATAAATATAATTTAATTTACGCCCACACAAAATCAATTATAAGAAATGAAAACGAGAACAAATTATTAGTTCCACGGGGTCCCTCCACTCCCAATCCACCCCAACCCCACCCCCACCCCCACCTCCACCCCCACCTCACAATGGGGCTCTCAAAAATCGCTTGTTACCAACAACCTTAATCATAGCTTACTAGAATGTTCCTCCTCAATTATTTCCCCATGTAATAAAATAAAAAAAATGAACATCATGAATTGGTTTGCAAACGTCGCTGTGACTATGACGTACCATAGAATATATCTTTAAATAAAATCTGCACATATATTCGTACCAAAAAAAATTTAATACCATATTAAAAATATTATTATTATTTTTTTAATCGTAAGTCAAGTAATAATAAGAATGAGTTATAAATTTAGATATTTTGTATTTGAATTTTGACAACTCATTAAGATAAAGTCATAAGTGATTTATTCATAATGAATACTTTAATTTCGGAGTGGATGACCTATTTTTAATCAGATCGAGCAGGAGATTAGTCGAAGTACATATAAGCTGACCCAGATACGCTTGACCGTTCTACCTTAAATTACATCTTTTTAAAGATAAAATTATGATTGTTTGAAGGAATTTCATAATCGATTATAAATATTTTTAATTAATTATAACTTCACATTTAAAATATATTATTTAATTTTAAAAAATTATAATTTTTATCATTCTTTTATTATAATTTTTGGATAAAAAAATTATAAATTTTGATAAAAGTACCAATTTCGTAATCTTCCCCCACAAGGCAGGCATAGACCGAACTCTCATTTCACATTTTTTGCATTTCCTCAGAATATCTAAACTAAACTCAACACGTCACTTCAAACAAATCATCATGCTCAGAGCCTCCACCACCTCCACCTCCACCTTACCCTCTTCCCCTCTCCCCCTCCTCATCTCCTCCTCTTTTTCTCTCTCCAAACCCTCACTTTCTCTCTCTACAAGCTCTGCCAAACCCCTTTCTTTCCCTCAAAGCACTAGGCCCATATATTTCTACACACCCCCAAAGATGTCCTGGCTGGGCAAGCTAGGCTTCGGTACGCGGTCCCCCACCGAACCCTCCATGGACTCTTCTTCTTCCTCCATAGCCCAAGGTCCAGACAATGATATCCCAGCACCGGGTCAACAGTTCGCCCAATTCGGAGCTGGGTGTTTCTGGGGCGTGGAATTGGTCTTCCAGAGAGTCCCTGGTGTGACCAAGACCGAGGTTGGGTACACTCAGGGCTTTATTCATAAACCCACTTATGAGGATGTATGTTCGGGGACTACGAACCACTCTGAGGTTGTTAGGGTTCAGTATGATCCGAAGGAGTGTAGTTTTGAGTCTTTGCTTGATGCTTTCTGGGCTAGACATGACCCTACAACCCTTAATCGCCAGGTGGGTTTTCTGAATTTTGGGGCTTTCTTTGAGTTATTTCTGTGAATTTAGTGTTTGAATTTTGATGGGTTAGATTGAATTGCTCTGTCGATGAATTGGTATTCTTGGCTTTCTCTGTGGTCAAATGGGTCTTTCTTTGAATTGCGAGATGTGAAGTTACACGCATAAGAATTATACTCCACAAGAAATTGAACAAAAAGCTGTTGAATTAGCATATTTCTTGCTTGTCCCAATTGAAATATTTTGAGAAATGAAGAATGAATGCTTTTTCAGCAGGAGGGAACATACACACACACACACACACACGATGTATATGTATTTATGTTTATAATTGGATTTGTTTCTTAAAATTCTAGTTGTATGCTTGAATTTTGATGGAGTAAAACTGACAATTTTCGTGTTTGAAGATTCATTTTTTCATAATTTTGGTTGATTGGTTGGAGAAAAAGAAGTGTCAATTGTTGGATTTTCCGAACGTCTTAGTTTTGTTGGTACTTTAGCTCCGACCCTGAGGCGGGGTTTTTTTTTTTTTTTGGAAATCGAAAAACTTGTATAAGGTGCCTTCTCAGATAAAAAGCTCTCGCATGGATTGCGGCTTAGAAAATAGTTTACATTCGACAGTTGCATTAGTTGCTTGATGGAACTTGAGATTTTTCCTTTGTTCTGTCATTTTTTATGCTATGTCATTTGGTCTTTTATTTGGTGTTCAGATCATATTTTACTTTGTTCTCTCTTGGAAGCTATTCTTTTGGACTTGGACAGCAGCCTCGAGTAAGAATGCTTTTTGGAGTGATTAATAATTTCCCCATTCATCTACTTTTTTATGAGAAAGAAACAATTGTTATGTGTGTCTAGGATCATTGTCATGTGTAAATTGAGAACCTAGAATCATTAGATATGGTCTAGTGGCAAGGAAATTCCTTGGCTATATACATGTTTGTATGAAACCCCTTATGTTAGACTTGCCACTGAGATTTCCTGTCAATTTTTTTTCTTTAATGTGGCATCCCATTTACTACAAGTCTACAACCATTAAACTTATTTCCCTTTTCTGTTTTCTTGTTGCATATCTACATGTTCCTTATTAGATGCATCCCTTATCTTAGTCTTGCCACAAAGATGTCCCTTCATTTGTTTTTTTTTTTGGCTGCATCTTGAATTTACCGTCACCCATCAATTTATTTCTGTTTTCTTGTAGCGTATCCCTATTATGGTTATTCTTAAAATTTATTTTCCCTTTCAACATCTTGAAAGCATGGTTACAAAGGGTGGTTATGTTATTTCCTGTGATGTTTGTAGCATTGTGTTCTGTTGTCTATTTATTATCCCAAACCAAGACCTTCCAATCCCCCCACTCCCATTACCCCCCATCCCCACCCCCACCACCCACCCCCTACTCCCCAAACAAAAAAAAGACTTATAGTAATGCTCGTTGTATCCTTTGGCAGGGAAATGATGTGGGAACGCAATACAGATCTGGAATATACTTCTATACACCTGAGCAGGAGAAGGCAGCAATAGAGTCCAGGGACAGACACCAGAAGCAAATGAACAGGAAGATTGTTACTGAGATTTTACCTGCCAAGAAATTTTACAGAGCAGAAGAGTATCACCAGCAATACCTCTCAAAGGGGGGTCGATTTGGGTTTAAGCAATCTGCTGAGAAAGGCTGCAATGATCCAATTCGTTGCTACGGCTAGGCACCCTCTATCTCGTTTTTTTTTTCCTGGGTCATAATTGCTGTTTTAGATATGCTTGTTAATATGTTTGCGATTCTGCCCACTTCCTATGACAGTTATATCTTATCTCATACCTTATATATTCTACTGTCATGAGAACAGATGATGCATGTAGCTTCTAAGTACAGATATTTGACTGCTGTTGTATTTGGATCAACTTTAATTGGAGCAGTTGCCTTTTGTTATATCCTGTTAGCCTCATGTTAGTTGGTTAAGAGTTTGCCTGTGGTGTATTTAGCAATGTGTTTTTTTTTTTTAAATTCTGAGAACTTACATTGGTTTTTTTTTTTCGCTATTTCTTATTTTGGGTAGTGGATTTTCTATCTGTTGGAGCAAGAACTAGCATGGACGCTGATCTATTATGACCACCGTGGCTATTCGTATTCTATTTTCTTCTTTCAAGCCAATCTCTTCTTAGAAAGCACTCAGCGAAGTTACTTAAGCACTCTCAAATCTCTCTTGATACGTCATTTTACTTTGTAAACTAATTGAAGTTTGTCCTTATGCATCTCTTTCTTTCTCATTTTTATAATTATTGTGGGGGTGAAACTCTATCCTTTGATATACATATGGAATCAGCTTTGGCTACATTGTAAAAGTCAAGCTGTAATTTGGCAATATTGCTTGACATTAATACTCTTCCAATCTATTTGGCATCTTCCGCCTAGAGGGAATATGGGATAGGTATTCTCTCAGGAGCGAGTTTTGTCGCATTGGAATAAAGCTATATATATCTTGTTCTTTTCAGACCTTATTGTGATAGAAGTTTCGTTTGTAGTGCTATTCTGAAAAATACAACTTCCGTCCTCGTCCATTGATAAAGAGCATTCAACCATAAATAATATTCATGGATATAATGATCTATCCACAACTATTGACCTATTCGACCACCATAGAAATAGTCTCTACGACTCTACCTATTCAACTATCATAGAAATGTGAATCATGAGAGCTGATTCACCTAAGGAAAAAAAATTTAATATGACTCCTGCTGGTTGCATATACTTTTATCTATTGCATTTGTCTTCTATGACTTTTTCTTTGTTCCATCCATCTAAACAAACCAGGAAAGTAATCATCTTCAAATCTCGTTCATCACCATTCTTTGATCAGTTTGAGTTAAATCTTGTTCAAGTTCATTCATAAAACGAACCGATCTTAATTCTATTTTAAAATTTATTTAATAATTAAGCCCAGTCCGAAGAATGGCTTGTTTTGACTTGTCCAAGCTTCTTTTTTTTTTACTAGTCTAGACTTCTTTTTTATATAATCTAGTTGAGATAAATTTTACACACCAGTCAGCATTCAAGATTATGCTCAAATACAAACTTCAGCTTAGTTTAATTTGACTAGTCAAGCCGAGCTTGAATTTCGAAGAAAGAAATTAACAAGCCAACATGTGATATATTATTTATTATATAAACAAGTTGACATAATATAAACATATACCAGCTATGAAGGCATGGAGTAATAAAAAAATTGTCAATCATAAATATATTTATTATATTCACACTTAAAATCAAATCATAAACATAGAGAAAAAAAAAATTTAAAAATTAGTTGTAATGGGAGTGAGCGATGGTAACGATGGTGGGGAGAGAGGGGGGGGGAACAACGATGGTAATTTTTGAGAATTAGTGTTAGCTATTGAATTAATTTTATAGTAAAATTTAAAATGATCCCAATAGCAAAAAGCAAAATCCATTTTTTATGTTATACTTTATTATGCATATTCTATTATATAAACAAGTTGAGATAAATCTTAAACACTAGTTAGCACTGAAATTTATACTTGAATACAAACTCAAGTTCGATCTGTTTAATCTGACCAGTCGAGTCGAGCTTGAATTTAGAAGCAAGAAATTAACAAGCCAATATGTGACGTTCAAGTTTATGGTAGGACACAAACTTAAGCACAGTTTGTTTAATCTGACGAGTTGAATCAAATCGAGCTTGAATTGGAAGAATGAAATTAACAAACAAAGAATGAACAAACATCTAAAGCTCGCCATGCTCATGAACCCTCTTTCCAAATGCACAATCTGAACCAGATAATCTAGGGCTCGTTTGGAGACTTCAACTTATGCAGGTTATTCACAATACTAAAATCGATAGTAAATTGCCTTAAAACATTCAACTATTTTGCACAATATGAAAGATCTTTTAAATGTACATATTGATCGCAAGTGGTGGGGGTTGGGAATTGGGACATAGGCATAAGGGTCTTTATGACACAATATTGAATGACCAAAGCTCGCCATGCTCATGAACCCTCTTTCCAAATGCACAATTTGAACCAGATAATCTAGGGCTCGTTTGGAGACTTCAACTTATGCAAGTTAGTCACAATACTAAAATCAATAGTGAATTGCCTTAAAACATTCAATTATTTAGCACAATATGAAAGATCTTTTAGATGTACATATTGATTGCAAGTGATGGGAGTTGGGGATTGGGACATGGGCATAAGGGTCTTTATGACACAATATTGAATGACCAAAGCATCAATTGCTTCCACTTGTGGCCGCCTTCGATCACCTTGAAAACTTAATCTCACAACCCAACCCCCCCCCCCCCCCCCCCACCCCCGGGGCCCTGCTTCAACAAGTAGGTGGAGAACAGGAGGGCTGAAAAGCCCAACAAGAAACCTTTCACCCCGCAACACAATTCTTTCACAGACGTTTCCACTCTTGTCCTCATAAGCCAAGAGGTTTCAAGATCCCAGGCAATCCATTGAAGGTGAACAGCTCCGACTCGTCTAAACAAATCTAACAAGGCTTTGAATGAAAGAAAACCTCTGCATACTTTGGGATCAGCTACCAGCTGGCACCAAAATCTTCAGGCTAAATCATTTTGTCCTAAAAAGTAATCAAATGAGTTCAAACGAATGCATTGGATGAAAACAAAAGATAACAATGAAAAGCAAACATAATTTTCCACCCCAAGGACAGCTGAATGACTTGAAGAGGATCTACCTCAATACATCCTTCCTGTGCACCCGCGAGCACCGCAATAACAATTCTTCTTCTTGATATTGCCATTAGCATCGCGAACTTGATCGATCTTGTAATTGTAATCATAAGTTAGTTCTCGTAAAGGAGTTATGTTCTTCGAAGCGAACAACATTACATGAGGCATTCTCTGGTCATCGTGATCATAAAAAACATTTTGAGCATAAAGGTTAGGCGAGCAACTATGGTTAATAAATCTCCCAACATTCCCAAACTGTGCTGCATCAATAGTAAAGGTATCATCCTCTGTTTCATCAAATTGGGAATTCCCAATATCAAACAAATACTCATCACTACCAGCCCTTTCTTCAGCTTCCTTTTCTCGAAGCAACTCGCCTACATATTCACAAATAAAGCTTCCAGACGAAATAAAATCTTGTGATCTAACACCCCATCCCCTTGATTCAGTCTTGAAGACCTCCAACTGATATCGAACACTGTGTTGAGTAGATCTATTCATGCAAGAAGGGGGACATTTGCAAGAAGAACCACACTCATAGACAACAGGTTTTGCTCTAACAATAGCACCACTATTGTTGAAAGGAATCTCACCTCCATTCTTTAATGCACAAGAACATTGCTCAGAATCAGAGCATCCGTTGGTGCAATCGCAACCAATTGGCATAGAGTGGTCATACCAGTCTGAATATATCATATTGGTTATGTAAGTAAAAGGTGGGGGTTTCTCATCATCCAAAGCATTCATTGCACGAATGCACATTTTCTCTTTCCCACCAGATACATCATCTGCCACACAACGCTCAAAGCATGCTTTAGATTTTTTTGGCTTAATCAGGATTTGTTGAGTAAATTTTGGTAGCCCTGGTATTCTATTTAATTTAAACCTAAATACTAATTTGCCATATGACCCTCTTTCTTGCCAATACTCCTCCACAGTGTACAGACCATTATATATGTATATTGAGTCCCTCCGATGACCAAGGATAACCCTTACAGGAGTTTTTGCATCCATGCTGTTCTTTAACGCAAGATTACCTCGCTCAAGCTTTTGATCTTCAGGTTTGTTATCTCCGGTAGCTGGATTTCCGCCTTGACCCGAATATACTAAAACATCAGTAGATTCTGTGTTGTTTGAATAACGACCAGAAGCCACAATGCTAGTGGCTAAAATTTTTCCATCTTTCTTCACGTAATGTATACCTGAAGAAAATTGACGATGTAGGCCAATAATAACAAGTTCAGCCCAAAACCGAAACCTATCACCAACTTCAACACCAGGAACATGTCCCAGAAAGTGTTTATCAGCATTACCCCATTTTTGCTGTTTTTTGAGAACCATTGCTGCTTCCACATGAATCTGCCCAACGGGCTTTCGTGGGTCCTTTGTTTTATATTCCTGAAACATCTTGTTATACATCTCTTCAAAGAGATTTACGGCCTCCCTTACTTTATTGCGACTGACAAGTGTCTGGTACTCATCATAAGGAACAATACTCCCATCAGTTGACTCTTTGGCTGCGAGAATAAGTTCATGTTCTTCATCGTTGCCAAATGCTGAACTCATACAATGATAAGCAGTTTTCATGCCAAGAGCAAGAGATTCATTTCTTGTAGAATTCGATCCTGAAACATTTTTAGATCTGTCCACATCCATTAAATCAAAATTCTGACCTTTGTATCCACACATAGATTCAGTAAATCCACAATCAAAGACCCTTTTCCCCCACTGCTCAGCAGTTAAATTGTGAACAAATGAAGGAGCCAGTTGAAAAGATTCTACTTCTTGAGACTCTGCCAGTGCACCACTTTCAACCTCACAAAAATTGTTTCTGTTGCATTTTTCAGGATCCTTACAGCTTTTCTCAACAAGACTTCTAACTCCATCTATGTTACAGACCGTCTGACGCTTAAAACCAGATTCCAACAAATTCCACTCCAATGGAGATAAAATGTGGACTTCATCTCCATCTTCTTCCTGCTTGAGATCACAATCAGATGTTTTCTCTTGAACCAGCTTGCACATTTCGTTGACCTGTCTAGGTTCATGTTGAACCTTTTCTGGATTTTTCTTCGAAACATTCTGTTCTAACTTTCTCCCCTGCACATATCCATCCCCAATTTCCTGAGGGTGGACCTTGGCACAGTGGTAAGATTGCTCTATTGTGACCTGAGTGTCAAGAGTTCGAGTTGCAGAAATAGTCTCTCTGAATGTAGAGG